TCTAATCCCAGCAAGCTCACCCAAGTTATGACGGTCAGCATGGGGCAGCAGAAATATAGGAAGATGACTTTAGTGGCAATGGCATATTGCTATATCCATTATATAAACCATCCCTGTATTTTTACCCAAAACAGCAACTTTTAACAATAACAACAATTGGGTAGAACATATCCAGTAAAATGATTGCTGAAACTGGAATGTTAAAGTTGGAAATAGTAAGAAGAAAAAAGTAGTTGGACTGAATGGCCTAGGAAACCAAAATTTAGCAGGACAATGACAATTCAACCATTTTTTATTGCTAACATGTTTTTCTAACAATCAAAACAATGGTTATATACATGGACATTACTTGATGGAGTACATAGAAATCAAATTGACTATATTATTGGTACAAGGGAGTGGAAGAGCTCAATTATAACAGTGAAGATATGGGCATAGGCTGACTGTGGAACAGATCATGAACTGCTTATGTGCAAGTTCCAGGTCAAGCTAAAGTGAAAGAAGAAAGCCAGTGATATCAACTTGAGCATAGAAGGAAAACAACAGGGATTTCTTTGAAGTCTTGAATGTGACTGATAGGGAACCAGAGGAACTGTGGAATAAAATCAAAGAAGTTAAGAATGAATGTGAAAAGAGACTGCCAAAGACCAAGAAATGGAAGAAAGCAAACTGGATGTCAGAAGAGTGGAAATTGCCCAAAAGAGAAGAGGAGTCAAAGCGATCCAGAGTTCTCGCTAGAAGTACAAGTAAACATGACCAAATTACCCTATTTTGGGTACAATATGCAAAGGCCCAGTTCCCTTGAGAACTCTGTAACGCTGAGAAAGGTGGAAGGAAAAAGGAGAGGACAACCAGCGGCAATATGGATGGGCTTGATTACAATGGTGATGGGTGCACCATTGAAGGACCAGGTTGGAGAAAATCTATCTACAATATGTGGCTACTACCCATAGTAGAAGATTGGATTACAAAATTGATGCAGTTTGTGGAAAAGGCAATGCTGGCCAGTTTGGTCAATGATAAAGACTTTTTTGAAAGACTGGAAACTTATATGAACTTTTTGTTGAAAAAAGAAAAGACTGAGTTGATGATTTATGGATTTGGGGATTAAAAAGGGTTTAAGGGGAGGGGAAAGAGTAAGATGGCAACTACCTGATAGAAAAAAAGGTGGAAGTCATAATTCTATATTTTCTTTTTTTCTTTCACTTCTTTTTCTTATTTTTCTTTTAATATTTTATACTTTTATTGTATTCAAATAT